CGCCGGCGTGAACGACCTGTTCCCGACGCCCGTCTACGTGGAGGAGACGGGCCTGTCCGCGGCGGTGCCGCTCCTGGACGTCGGCGGCGGCGCCCGCGGCGACGGCGGCGCGCCGTGGACCGAGGACGCGACGATTTCGCTCGACCCAGTCGCGGGAAGCTACCTCGAATGGATGTACGCGGCGGACGGGACGCCCGACGAGCACCCCGACGTCGAGCGGATCGCCGCGTGGCGGGCGGACAACCGGCGCTACTGGCGGCCAGAGGCGGCGCTCGCGCGCCCGCTCGCGCCGGCCGACGACTTCTTCCACGATCCGAACACCGACCGCCTCTTCGTCCAGAGCCAGGGCGCGCGGCGCGCGGTGCGCTACGCCGGGCGCGAGCTGTTCAAGACGAGCTGGGACTTCGCGGTCCTGCCGCAGCTGCTCGCGGAACTGCTGCCGCGCACGGTCGTCGAGGTCGGCAGCGGCACCGGCGCCAGCGCGCTCTGGATCGCCGACGCGCTCGAGACCGCGCGGCGCTACGCGGGCGACCGCGGCGGCTTCGTGGTGCACAGCTTCGATATTAAGGGTCCGCCGCCGGGCGCGGCGCACGACCGCGTCGTGTTCCACTTCGGGAACAGCTCGGAGCCCGAGCGCACGTGGCCCGCCGCGTTCCTCGCCGGCCTGCCGCACCCCTGGCTCGTGCTCGACGACGCGCACGTGAACGTCCCCGGCATCGTCGCGCACTTCCTGCCCCACATGGAGGACGGCGAGTACTTTTACATGGAGGACAGCTGGGGCGATCGGAAACGCGACGTCTGGGAAACCACGCTCCTCGAGCACGAGGCGTCCCTCGTCGTCGACGCGCTCTACACGGACTTCTTCGGAGTCAACGTCCTCTCGGCGAAGGACGGCGTCGTCCGGGTCGCGCGGCGCCCGCGCGCGCCGCCGCGACGAGACCCCCGGGACGTCCCCGGGGCCTAAGCGACGTCCGGCCGATGTTTCTGTCGTGCCCTTCCCCGGGCCGACGGTGGTGCGGGGGCGACCGACGGTCCACGAGTAAGACGCGTCACAGCTCCCCCGCGCGCGCCGCGTCCTGGCGGCGCTGGAGCTCGAGGAGCTCGCAGTACGCGCGCTTCGCGCCCGGGCCCGCGCACGCGGCGGCCGTCGCGCCGAGGGGCGCCGCCGCCGCCAGCGCCGCCGCCTCGAGCGCCGGCTCCGCCGGACGCTCGGCCGCGACGAAGCGCGCCGTCGCGTTCTTCGCGTCCCACGCCGCGGCCTCGAGCATGCGCGCCGCCGACGCGGCGCCGCGCGCGAGGCCGAAGTGGGTTGCGACGAAACCGCCCGCGAGGCCCGGGACGACGCGCTCGTAGGGCACGAGCAGCCCGGCGCGCGCCCCCGCGGCGTGGGCGACGGCGTTGCGGACCGCGGCGCCGACGGCGCGCGCGACGGCGCGCGCGCGCGCGTCGATGGGCGATGCCGCGAGGTCCGCCTCGTCGACGCGCGAGCTCCCCTGGCCCCGGGCGATGTGCTCCTCCTCCACCGCGAGCCAGGTCGGCCGGCTCCGCAGCGTCGAGCGGACGACGGCGAGGGGCTCGCGGTGGAGGAAGGCCCAGCGCGCGGCCGGGAACGCGCGGAGCGCCCGGGCCGCGGCCGCCTCGGACCCGAGCCACAAATTCAGGAACACGGGGGCGCCCGGCGGCGCCGCCGCGGCGAAGTGGGCGTAGGCCGCGCGCGCGGCGCCGAGCGCCGCGTCGCTCCCGTGGTCCAGCAGCGCCATGACGAGGTTCGGCTCCATGAGGGCGACGGCGCCCGACGCCGCGAGCATGCGCCCGGCGACCGTCGACCCGCACCGCGACGTCTTGAGGATCAGGCCCGGCGACCGCGCCGCCGCGGGCGCCGACGCGACGAGGAAGTCGACGCCCGTGAGCAGCCGCGGCGGAGGCGCGGCCGCCGCGTCGAGGCGCAGCGCCCGCCGCGTGAGGTTCGCGACGTCGAGCCGCGCCCAGACGACGTAGTCGCGCTCCGGCGCCGCGCCGCAGCGCCGCCAGGACACGGGCAGCCAGCGCCGAGCGCCGTCGAGGATGCCGCGCTCCGCGGCGGCGAGCGCGTCGTCCGTCGGGTGCGCGCCGCTCGCCGTCGAGGATGGCGCGCTCCGCGGCGGCGAGCGCGTCGTCCGTCGGGTGCGCGTCGAGGTCGTCGAAGAGGCCGCGGCTGGCGGCCCAGAGGCCCTCGTCGTCCTCGCCCGCGACCAGCAGCGCGACGAGCGCGACCGCCGCCGTGAGCAGCATTCCAGGCCTACGGCAGCCGACGCATCTTCGCCTCGTACCGACATGAGCTTCAATAATCGCGACTGACCT